CTTACTGTTTTACTACAGAAAGGGTAAAAATGCTGTTCAAGCCAGAAAGAAATTGACTGATGTGTATGGAGAAGGTGTGTTGACAGTACGCCAGTGCCAGAACTGGTTCGCTAAATTTCGGTTCGGCAATTTTGATGTCGAAGATGCACCACGTTCGGGAAGGCCGGTTGAAGCTGATTTGTTTATTATATGAAAACTGTCTTTCATTTCCACAAAAAAAAAAACGAAATGACTTTCCGAACAACCCTATAATTTAAAAAAAAAGGATGCCTCAATATTTGTTCTTTGGCAACATTAGTTGTAAAATAAAATTTCATCAGCAAATGGTCTCAATATTGAGATTTGTTTTGTTTCTGCCTGCATCAAAATACAATTAAAACTAATCTTCAAGGTGAATGTTTACAGGTAAACAATAACTTATTTTCAGAACAATGTTTTATTATAAATAAACACTATGCAAGGGAATCACCTTATCAGATTTATTTCTGTGCAGGTGTAAACATTTTAACTAGACCATATTTATTTTTATCCCGTTCCCGGAAATTCTGTTTCCATTTATGAGTATAAAAGCAGCAGAGAACTGTTCAACCTCTGAAATCAAAAGAAACAACTGAGAAACAAGTTACCTATATATATCACATAAACGCAAAATGAAGTTTTTACAAGTTTTTGTTTTAATTGCTGCACTATTTGTTGTAACAATATCAGCAAGGTCTACTGAGCCGCTAGAAGAAACAAAAATTGGTAAGATTACTCCACCATTTTTAATAATAAGAAAACTAGTAGATTAATAGACCTTTTTACAATATTTTTTGTTTTGTTATGATGTGTATCAGCCTCAATATTTTTTAATTTTTCGTTATATTTATGTAAAAACTTTTACCAGTTACAATTTCTTTATTTTTTTTTCAGAGCAACCCCAATTAGCTGCCGCAAATAGAGCTGCTTGTAATGGATGTTACAGCTTTTGTATTAGAAATGGTTACAAGGGCGGATATTGCCTAGGAGCGTCTTGTCGTTGTTACTAACTTTATTTACAATAGTTTAGATACTTATTATATTACATATTTTTATAA